CAGTCCAAGTTCAACATCTTGACTATTACATTAGTCTACCGCTTCATAAGTGAGTCATATTTGTAACCACCTTGTACTTGGGGTGATTTGCAGCAAGCTTATAACAGTGAATGTCATCCTTGAGGGATTTCTTTAACTCAAGAAGAGCAACTGTGTGGTAATGAACATTATAATGGATGATCCCAACAGGCACAAATCAAAGTTCAAAACAATTAACTGACTGCTGAAAGGGCTTTGCCTATATAAATGTATTCTTAGAGCACTTTATTACTGCTGAATACCAATGTTTGATTTTATGATTTGTTTATTGTTCTGACTGTAAATAAATATTGCAGTATCTATGTTAGGATGTCCAGGTTTTTAATGCAGAAAAATTTAAAAAAAATCAAAACCAGGAGCATTCTTTAGCAAAATTTTCCCAATCTAAATTCAATACAGTTTAATGTTCGATTTTTCGCATTTCCTCCTGTTCTTAGTAGGTGGTAAACATAAGGATACTAATAAAAATGTTTCATGATTATGGGTGTCCACATGGGAGCAAGGGCAAATGACAACATGTGCATCATGTTGTCATCATGGAAATGTACTTGCATGAGACATTACATAATCACTGCTTATGCACAGAGATGGCAAGTGCTCTTATTCTAATATCATTATTATTGCTATCAGTTGTAAGAATGAAAAATTTTGTAATTCCCCCCTCCTTTCCTATAACTGATATTTCATCAGCCAAGTTGTCACTGACTCATGAAACCCAGTAGAACGGGTTCTAACATCTTTCAAGTAGAAAAAAATGCATAAAATTAAGCATCACAATGTTTTTGTCTCCTTCTGGTATAGTGGAAGCCCTTCATTTGGGAACACTCATGGCAGCTCATGGTTATTTCTTTCCTATCTCAGACCATGTTCTAACCCTGAAGGATGATGGTACCTTTTACCGGTTCCAAGTAAGTTTTTACAGCATTGTTTTTTAAACCTTAACTACTTATTAGCAGTGGAATTATTCACCCCAAACAAGAAGCAGTTCTATTCATAATGTGATGGTCTAATCAATATGTACCACTTTCTACCAGATGAGGTGCTTTTCTTTTCCCGTACAGAGTCTCTTAATATTATGTTAATGCAATAGCTTCCCTCAACTTGATGCTTTCTAAACGATCTGATCTATAATTACTAGTATTCCTAGAAAATATGGCCAGTGGGTGTGAATTATGGAAACAGTAGTATTGGGAAAGCCTGATATACATTTGGCCTTTCATAATCAGTACCAGTGTTTCCATTTTAATGTACAGATGATTTAGAAATTTTGTCTTCCTTCTAATCCATAGCTAGATTAATTGTCTGGAGAAAGCATAGGTTAGGACAAACGGAGATGAGCCATGCAGGTATGCTGCTATGTAACATCTGCAACTAAAACCTGGTTTTATTGCTGTTCCTTGCAGTCAGGCAAATCCTTGCACTCAAGAACAGTTCAAAATATTTAGAAAAGATCAAGAATCCCTGTTTATGGAAGAAACCAATTTCAGCCTCATATTGGGTTCCTTATACAATTTCAGAATGGGGAGTGCTGATGGAAGAATTTTTTGCATTTAATTGAAACCCCCAAAACAACAACAACAAAAAACCTTAGCGTTAGCATTGTCACATACAAAAAGTTGTTGGGAATCAGGCAGTGTACAAATTGAATGTAATTAATTAATTAAAACAGCTACTCAAAATATGCAGGTTTAATTGCAATGTTTATTCAATCAATAATTCCCAAGAATAGCTAATTTTATTTATTTATCATATCTGTATAGCCGCCCATCTCATTTATAGTGACTCAAAAATTAAAAAATCGACACATACAAAATATGTATAATGTGTTGCTTTGTCCAACTTTTTTCTTTGTTTTGTTTTGCAGACACCCTATTTTTGGCCATCCAATTGTTGGGAGCCGGAAAACACAGATTATGGTCAGTGTGGATCTCACTTCTTTCAGTCTGGAGTCTTGCATTGAATGGACTAATTTGTTAATTTAAAGCTTTTTATTAAACTCTTAGCCATAGTTTTTAAACCCAGGGCAAGAACTGCTAATGCTGAGCTCAAGATTGGCTTTGGTTTACAAAGTTTACTAAGGCAAAGGTCAAATCTGTGTGTGGACTGGGAATACAAAAAGAGCATCTCCTTTTGCAAAGCTACAGGCATTCACTTAGAAGACTCAGAGACTGCAAATCTGTCATTCATGTTAGGACAAGCAACAGATTAAAAAGGTCCAGAGCTGAAATGTGATTCAGGGCTGGTCAAACATGAAGTTATATGAATGTAGTCATAGGCAGCATGGGCCCCTGTGGTAATACCTTACTTATTTCAGTTAGGCATTAATATTTCTCTAGATAGGTTTTTATTTACAGAAAACCATAAAGATACAAATGTTCATTAGGCAACACCTTGCAATATTCTTATCAAAAACAGCAAGACACCATTGCTAACAGTCAGCTGATTTTGTTTGTAATAATATTTATGACATAACTGTAGATTAAAGGTCCTGTGCATTCAACTAAACCTTCGCTATGAAATATATTAAACATATTTTTAAACTGATCAGTTTGTTCATTTAACAAGATATCAGCATAAAAATGCAGATTCAGTCTTAAAAACTCCCATACACATGATTGTAGAACAATATTGCAATCCCAACCATTCTTGTTGGACTCTGGTTACTGTGATTCTTTGCTTCAGTAATTATGTTCTGGACTCTTTAGCTGCAATGACAAAGGCAAATGATTAGTACTGAAGATTTTTAAAAAATGTATACAGTACTGTATATTGAAATCAAGTAAAAATGTAAAAACTAGGTGAGTATCAGGGAACTTTTAAAGTATGTGTATCAGAGCATTAAAGTTTAGCGAGATTAAAGAGATTAAACACTGAGAATATATCCAGATTATGTCCCTTCAGTGCGTGCTCACCTTACAATCAGCTGGAAAATCCTGTTGTAAAGTTCACATAAACAATACTCTGTTTGACTTGAAATTCCTTGACCATCTCCAGATATGTGCAAATAAACAAACATCCAAGGTCATTTGCCCCAGATTTGGTCCTAGCATCAGAAAATGAATTGTTTACATATAGTGTCAGTTTTATTGGCTAGGTTTTGTGGCATTTTCCTCATTCCGTTCCCTAAAACTTTGGTATGCAACCTTACCCAGATAGAGGACTTGGCTTGTCAATGGTGTATTAAGAGGGTCAGGACAACTATGAAACTGGATTCAATTAAGATTAAATACTTCCCCATATATTTAATTGTTTTATTTTCTCAACCCATTAAAAATGATAAGACATTAACTTGGGGCAGGGTGGTTTCTAAAAGATACATGAGTCCTTGGGGCATCAGGTTGTGTACCCTTGCCCTGAAGTGCTTTTGTTCTAGACTGGAGGTGTGGAGTGTTCAGATCCAAAGTGGACAAAGATACTTTGGATCTGGTGTGGACATCCTTATTGCACCTGTTGGGTGCTCCTTAAAGAAGTAGAGCTTTGTCCTGGCCTTACATGATAACCATTTGGGCTCTGGAAAATACATATGGTTGCTTCCTCCTTAACTCAAACATGTATTTTCCTGTGCCACCCATATGTACAGCAAGGGTACTCATACCAGGTCTGAAGCACCTTTGACTGCTTCAGATCCAAATTCTGTACTTCAGATCATTGTGTCCAAAGAGAGTTGGATACAGCTTCTGAAGGGGAATGTTGTAGTCTAACATATCTGAAGGGTGCCAGCAGCAACAAGGGTGCCTGTTTTGGGCAAGATGGCAGCTGGGGGAGTGTAATCCAATCCCCATTCCTTTTGTACACGCACACAACATTAATGCATGTGCAAAAGGAGTAGGGCTTAGATCATGCTGCCATGACTGCCATCATGCCTATTTTGACCTCGTCTCCCCCCGGACCCTGGTTGCCTGATTAGGAAAGACTATTTTAGCAGATAGTCAACATATGGCATCCAATGGTGTGCAAAGCACCTGTACACACTGCTTTCCATGGGATAACATCTTTCATTCTAGGAAGTTAATTTTTCTGATTACATAGCCTAAATAATCCATCAGTCAATTGTTCCTGTGTTTTTAAGTATATAATGAATCATAGAAACTGACTTCCACACCATGAAAAGCTTCCCATATTAACTATTATTAGATGTGACTGCATTAGGAATGGCGCATTCTGGTTGTTTGTGTTATGTGGAAAAGAACCCAACTGTTTAACATAAGGATAGTGTTTCCTTGTCTTCAAGAATTCATCACTGAAAAGCATATTCTGAATAACAAGGAATAAAGTTACAGGGAAGGAATTAACATTACTAGCAGCACAAATACTTTCGAGCCATTTTAGAACTTTAAAGGATGGAGCAGTAGAAATGATATTGAATAACAATGCTATGTGCCTAATTCCATCAGGACTCAGATTTCAAAGTAGGAAATGGTAACCAGAGCATAGGATGGAATTCTCTGGAAGCTATCGCCCTGTAATGAAATGTTAATCCCAAGAAGGTCCAAATTTACAAGAACTGGACGGTCAATCTAGCATTTATCTTTCTTTTTTTTACAACTGCAGGTCAAGGAATTCTTTCTTTCTCCCTAACTGCTTAGAACTGATTTGTAAATAGTCCCTCATCCCATTTGTGAGTCGTTCCTTGATTTTCACCTCAAAGTTATGAGTGAGCTCTGTCTGAGGCGATATCAAGTGATGCATTACTTGAAGCACATCATTTAATTTTGCACTTGCTATTGGTTAACATGCATGTATAAAGGAAGATAGTTCTGCCTGGGCAGTCTGGAACTGATTATAATCACAGAGAACAGCAACCACAGATAAGCCTGTTAAGTATATAACAATATGAGAACTATCCTACAGGTTAAGGCCCATCTTAGTCCAGCATTTTGTTTCTCATCGTGGCCAACCAGATGCCTGTGGGATGCTGGCAAGCAGGAGACAGAGTGGAGTGAAGGTAGAGAAATTCTACTTTCAGAAGTCCAGGGTTAAATGAAAATCAGCTGACCTGTAATCCAAGTAATGGGAGGATCAAACAAAAGCTGGGGAAAATCAAATGGTGAGGAGCTATGTACTCAGGCAGGAAGTCTCTCTCTTTTGCCTTTGTCCTTGGCATTTGTTATTCCCTTCTTCAAAGGTGGCTACAAGCCAGATAAGAGGAAAGTGCAGCCAGGAGCAGCTGGTCTGGAATCCAGAGCATTTGGATAGCAAGGTGAGGTCAGTGAAGCTAGTTGCAGAATAGATTCTGTGGAGTCCTTGGGGTTCTCCGAGCTTGGTTGTATTTTTACAAACATTTTGTTACCCAACTAGGTAACATCTTCAGTGCTAGCCTCTCTTCTATTGGAATAGATTCTGTTTTATGTTATGGGCTAAGATTGTGGCTGCTTTGCCCAGGCCTTTGGTGAGGGTGATTAACCCCCTCCCTTTTGGGTTGTGTGGGTCCATTTTTTGCCAACTTTGGCATCTTTTATTCTTGCTTATTCTTATTTGCTTTATTGTTTTCAATTTTTTTTTAACTTGTGATCTGCCCAGAGTTGGGAGTTGGGCAGTATACAAGTTTTAATAATAATAACGATAATAGTAATACGTGCTCTGCCTGTATGTGTGTGAGACCCTGGGCTGGAGGAAGCAGCTGGCTGAGATTAGATTCTCCAAAAAACTATTATTATTGTGGTCATGCAGTCAGCCAGTTGTTTAGACTGGATTGGCATTTTTATCCACCTATCGAATCCTTCCCAAGGACCTGGGATACGCAGATGTTGCTGTTTGAGGGTGTTAAATGTACTGTTGCAGAATGTAAGCTGTTCCAAGTAAAACTGCGTTTTGCAACTGACTGATGGTGATTTTGTCAATGCCAATGGTGTTCAAGTGGTGCTCCAGATGTTTGGAGATTGCGCCCAGGGCGCCTATTACTATTGATACTATCTTTGCTTTCTTTTGCCATAGTTGTTGTACTTCTATTTGCAGGTCTTTGTGTCTTGTGATGTTCTCCAGTTCTTTCTCTTCTATTCTGCTGTCTCCAGGTATTGCAATGTCCACTATCCAGACTTTTTTGTCTTTCTTAGTCTGGGGTGCTGTGTGGCAGGTGCTTGTCTGTTTGAATTCTAAGGTCCCAGAGCACTTTAACTCCTTCATTTTCTATTACTTTGGCTGTTTTGTGGTCCCACCAGTTCTTGCTGGCAGGCAAATAATATTTCTTGCAGATATTCCAATGCACCATTGTTGCTACTTTGTCATGCCATTGTTTGTAG